GCCTGCCTGCAGCGATGTGCGGGGAGCCGGGGCTTGGGTTCTGCTGCCAGCCCCGCCCGCCCTGTCCCGGCACCCAGTGGTGGCGCCCCAGCTCGCTGGACGGATGCCAGAGCCATGCTTCTTTGCTGGTACCTGCCTTCGTGTCTTGGTCCTGGCCCAGACCCTGGAGGACTTGGAGGCGGTGGGCTTGGGCGTGACTGTGTGTGAGCCCCGCCCAGCTCGGTTCCCAGAGCTGTCTTCTCTCTGCCCACCCCAGCCCTGTCCTCCCGTTTTTGCCCACCCTGACTCCATCAGCTCCACCCCTCCCTCCTTTTCTTTCTCTTTTGCTGCTGTTGGAGACAGAGTCTTGCTGTGTAGTCCAGACTGGATTTGAACTCGCAGCAATCTTCCTGCCTCAGCCTCCTGTGTACTGGGATTATAAGTGTGTGTCACCACACCAGGCTACCCTCATTCTCTTCATCAGTGTCAAACCACTCTGTGGCCAGAGCCCTCTTGACACCCTGAGACTTGGCACCTGGCTGAAAGTTGGCTCTGGGTCCCTTTGAGTCCCCCTGCTGCTGTCCCCGCCACTGCGTGCTGCTCTGGGTCCCCGTCCTACTTGCTGACTGCATCCAGGGACACGGGAAAGGCTGATGGCCCCACCTCCCTGTGCCCTGCCCCAAGGAAAGCCAGACACTCCTCTTCTAGGACCTGAGCTGGCTGCCAGGGGCCACCCCTACCGTGATGGCACCAGGTCCTCCGTCTTCCCCTTTGGCCCCAGCTTCACGCCCTGCCTTCCTGTCCTGGCTCATGAACTTCCAGGCCTCGGGACAGAGGTGTGGGTGCTGCCAGGCCTGGACCCAGAGCAGCAGGACCTGCCCTCCCTTGCGGGGCGTCACTCACTCGGGAGGTGTCGAGAGGAAACACAGGCTGGGAGCCACAGGGAGCCGAGTCAGACCCTCAGTGGCTCTCGATGGAGAATCTTCCCAGCTGGCCCAACCCGGGCGGCTGCCCCTCCAGTCCCCGCCCGTCCATCCCAGGCTGGGGAGGACAAGCTCTGCTGCAGGAGCAGGACCTCACGTGAGGGCTGTGGGGAAGGGAGGACTGCGGACCCTGAGAAACAGACACCGGGCACCACGGGCCCAGCCAGTGACCTGGCGACCAGAGTTCCCGGATCTCGGGTCAGGCGAACCAAGAGTTGGCACCAAAGCAAGCTCCCTGCAACATTCCCTGCATGCTGGTTTTTATGAGGAAGGCCTGGGCCTTACAGCAATGTGGCCACAGGCATGCGTCCCAGGCGGCTGGCGGGAAGCCAGGTGACAGGCAAGGTCAGGAGCAGCAGCCGGATCTCTTGGGCTTTCTGGGTGCCACCTCCACCAGCGAGCCCTTCAGGCGGTCCTCCTGCACCCTGAGTGCCCTGCGGGACAGAGCCCTGCGGTCAGCCCCGCCCCTCAGGAGCTCTACACACAGCAGGGTCCCCCGTCAGGGGGACTCCGGCCCTCTGGCCTTTTCCCACCATAGGGCAGGCGCCACGCTAGGCCCTGAGTGGGGCAGAGGGGGGACTTGCCCAGCGTGACTCGGGAAGGGGGTGACCGCAACCCAAGCCAGGGTGGAGAAGGGGACAGAACCAGTCGTTTACCTCCGACTCCTCCCTCTCCCGGGGCCCGGGCTCCCTGGTCTCCCACCTCGCCCCTCATACTCATCCATTCATTTATTGAGCACCTACTGTGTGCCAGACCCTGCTGAGGGGCTGCACGGGCCATCACGGCCCCACCCTGGGCACAGCAAGAAGGAAGACAGATAGGTGCGTAATTATAGTGTCCGATGGAGTCTGCAATCTGAATGGGTCAGGGAGGAGTGGCCAGGGCTTGAGGAGGGGCCACTGAAGACAACGAAGTGCATTTCCAGGCATCTCCATTTGTTTTTGAGAAGTGGTCTCACTACGTGGTTTAGGTTGGCCTCGAACTCACAGGGATCCTCCTGCCTCAGCCTCCAAAATACTGGGATTACAGGCATGCGCCACCACTCCTGGCTGGATTTCATTTTAAATCCGCAGAAGTCAGTGGAAGGTTGTGAGTAGGAGGGGGACACCCCCCAGTCTCAGCCCACTTCAGAGACAGACACTGGGCATGGCAAGGGGATAGGCTTCTGCGGAGTGACAGCAGTGCAGACAGACGGTGAGGCTGAGGCAGGAGGCTCTCGGGGGTCTGGTTTTGCTCTCCTCCCCATCTTTGGCCCTGTGTTTGCTTGGCTGCCTCCTCAAGGACTTTCAAGCCACCAGGGAACTCTGGAGGGGTGGGGGTGGCTCACCGGGCCAGGTTCACCATGGGCTCCAGGATGTTGTGACCTAGGACGGCGCTGCACTCTCCAAAGGACACTCCCAGCTCCTGCAGGCCAGACAGAGCAGGCACAGGTGTCTTGGGGCATTGCGACACCAGGCCCAGCCCACGGAATGGAATTACAGGTGTGCACCACCAAGCCCAGCTCCATACAAAATCCTTTCACTGCATGAATGTCAGACAGATGCACTACTTTCAAAAGGAAAAACTCAGGCCAACCGGAAGCCACAGGGTGACTTCAGGATTTTGAGTGTGAGAAACAGAGGTGACAGGCAGGGCAAGAGAGGCCCTGCCCCACTGTCATGGCAGCCACAGCTTGGCAGGGGGCTTTTTATGTCTTCCTAAGAAGACCTCGAGTCTTTTTTGGTTTGGTTTTGTACGGGGGATGGATATCTCTGGTCCTTGCGCTTTCGAGGCAGGCAGCGAAACCACTGAGCTAGGTCCCTGGCCTGACCTTGAGTCTCAAAATAGAATAAGTTAGAAGGGAGGATGTTACTCAGAAGCCAGGGATAAAAGTAAGATTGGATAAGGACTTTCACTCGGATTTCTGAGACCGTCTTCCTCTGAAGCTATCGGGCCGGTTGGGCTGAGGCCGAGTGTGGGAACCCTCGACCTGCAGCGCAGGGAGGTTCGGCCTGGGGCTGCTGTGCATCCGTCCCTGGGCCACCGCGGAAGGGGCTGGGGAGGGCCCTGCGCCTCTCACCTGCGCCAGCTGCTGCCCGGCCTCCGTGGGCACCTGCCGCTCCTCCTCACAGTCCATCTTGTTCCCCAGCAGGAGGAGGACCACGCCCTCGGCACCCTCGTCCTGCGCACAGAACACAGGCTCTGGGTGTGCCCTGGGTGCCCCCGCATCCTGGTCACCTGCACCTGCAGCGAGTCCCCGCCCACTTCCAAAGTCACCTCCCAGGAAGCCTTCCTGGGTGCTTCCTGCCCTGCTTGGTTCACCACTGCCCTGGCAACCTCCCAAATGTAATGATGATGGTGGTGGGGGGTGATGAAGGATTTTGCTGGTCACAGCAGCGCACGCCTGTCACTCCGGCTACGTGCGAGGGTGGAGCTCAGTGTGGAGGCCCTGGGCTCCATCCCAGCACCACAACAATCAGTCCATGGAAGGTTCCAGTGAGGAGCTGTGCCCAGGGGCGGGCCTGCAGCGACCCTATCAGTGGGCCCTGCACACTCCGCCAAGGGAGGCAGGAGGCTGAGGTTCCGAGAGGACGAGGACTCTGCAGCATCCCAGCGCGGGGAGGGCAGCTGGGGTTCAGCTCTCAGGCCCCCAGACCCCGCAGCCCAGCTCCCTCACCCTTCTTTTGCAGCCCTTCAGCCAGACTAGAAATCTGGGGGGAAAGCAACACCTGCCGGTGCGGCTCCGAGCGATGCTCACGGCCGTGGGAGAATCCCAACAGATTTGTGCTGTGGGAGAACGGGCTGTCACCTAGCGTGGCCCTGGGTCACCCTTGGGTTTAGGAGGAAGCGTCACAAACAGCTGCTGTGTGCAGGAAAGAAGCCCTCACAGGATGAAGGGAGCAGGTTGGTCTGCACTGAGCGGATGTCGTCTCTTGCGCTCCCGCACTCCTGGCCCATCCGCCCACAGGACCTCAGTGGGTGGTGGCACTGCTAGGACTGTGGCGCGGTTTGAAGTCCTGAGAGGCGGGGGCAGGACACAGACTCGCTCTTGGCTCAAAGGCCTGGCGGCCAGGCAGCCGGGTGGCCCCCTCACCTGCAGGCAGGACAGCCAGTAGTGCACATGTGCAAAGCTCTCCCGCGAGGTGACGTCGTACATGAGCACCGCCGCGTCGGCCTTGCGGAGCAGCTGCCGGGTCACGCTGTGGTACCTGCCCGAGAGTCCTGTGAGGCCAGGGCCTCTGCACCGGTGCAGGGGCGGCCCTGGTCCGCACCTCCCTGTCCCCGTCCGTGGTCCCGAGTGGCCCTCCTCCTGTGCCTAGAACCCTGGGGTGTGGCCTGTGTGGCCACCCACTGGCCCTTGGTGGCCTCCAGCCCTGGGCCCTGCAAGCCAGGCCCCCGACGGAGACACACACAGCACCTCTCCTGGCCAGCGGTGTCCCACAGCTGCAGCACAAAGCACTTGTTGTCCACCAGCAGGGTTTTGACCCGAAAATCCACTCCTGGAACACAGAGGGGGACACGTGTTATCACCCAGGGCTCCAGCCTAGGCCATCTCCGTACCGTGTCCCAGCCCCGGCCATGTGGGGATGCAGACCGGTTACTGGGCTCCCCTCTGCTCTCCAAATCCCGCTCAGCCTCCAAGACATCCTCCTAGACTACCAGCCACGCCCTGGACGGGGGCCACGGGTCCCCACCTGCAGGCTCGGTGCTTTCCTCACGTGGGCCCTGCTCTGCTCAGCCCCAGCCCTCCCTGTGAGGACAGTCCAGACTATCTTTGGTGGGTGTTCGGAGACAGGGTCTCATTGTGTGGTTCAGGCTGGCCTTGAGCTCACTGTGTAGTCCAGGCTGGCCTCAGCCTCCCAAGTGCTGGGATTACAGGCCGGTGCGACCGTCAGACGTTTTGTCCCCAGGAATGCGGAGATAAGAATGAAATCCCAGGGGAGACCTGGTGACCGCCAGCACCTGCGGCCCCGCCCTCCTCCCTCTGCCCCCCCAGGAAGCCTGGTCCCAGCAAAGCAGGGAAGCCCAAGCGAGTCTCTCCTGCGCACCTCCCCTTGTCCTCTCTCCTGAAGACCCTGAGAGGCCCTGGGGCTGAGGAACTTTGGCTCCAAAACCCACCAGCCTCGGCCTCCGGACTCACCATGTCGGTGAGAAAGCCAACACCCCACAGTCCCGCACTCGCTCTCCCGGAGCCTCCACCCGTTCTGCAAACCCACACCCCGTGTGGAGTGTGAGAGCTAAAGCACAGAAACCGTCAGGAATGCTGCGTCCCGTTTTCCGTGCTCCGGGGGAACCTGCGTTTCACTGAGCAGCCCCAAGGGGAGCGCGCTGCTCACCCTCGCCCCCGGGGCTCAACTTCCAGTGTGGGGTGGCCCCAGGTGACCTAACTGGCCTGCAGTTCTCGGCTTTTCCCCTCCATACAGCGGGGTCCGTATAAAGACTGGCTTTCACGGACAATGCCACGGCCTCTGGGTCTCCACCCGGCCCTGTCATTCACCCGGGCGTGGGTTCTCATGCTCCGAGGATGGTGCGGGCTGAGGACCCGGACACCTGGGGCTCCCAGTTGGCTGTGCACTCAGGCTGGCCCTGCCTTTTCTCGACTATGCAGCCTGGGTTTCCCCTATTATTCAGTGGAATTTTCCTAACCCCTAATAAACAGTCGGTCAACAGTATGTGGTAGGTGTCTAGTTGTGGCCCAACAGCATTTGGACAGGTGTGCTGGGGTTCCCTGGCCCATCTCCACCGGGCAGAGGGCAGCTGGAGAACCTGACCTGGGCCCTCTTGGGTGAGTAAAGTCACAGGCCACCGGCCTGACCCGGGTCCCCACTGGGCCCATTCCCTGGCCTGACACAAAACACTGTCCCTAAATAAATATCCTGACTTGGACTCCGTGGTCACACATCTTGATACTTTTGTGTTTTTTGTTTGTTTGTTTGTTTTGTTTTGTTTGTACCTGGGTTCGAACTTGGGACCTTGTGCTTTCGAGGCAGGCAGCGGAACTACTGAGCTAAATCCCCGGCCCAGACATTGTCCAATACTAACTCAATAAAACAGCGAGTGTGAACTGACCTGCCCCCAGCATTTATGGCCTGCCAGGTGCTATTATTAGAGCTTGACATGGATTAAACCCTTCCACCACTCCTGGAAGTCGCATTACTGGGTCCCAGTCTGCCGGGGAGGGCCTAGGGCTCGTTAGAGCTTGACATGGATTAAACCCTTCCACCACTCCTGGAAGCCGCATTACTGGGTCCCAGTCTGCAGGGGAGGGCCGAGGGCTCGGGTGCTGCAGTTCAGTTCTGGAATGGCCCACGGGAGGCAGACTGGGCCCCAGCTCTGTGCCATTGGGAAGTGGTGGAAAGTTTAAGAAGCGAAGGTCTTTAGGTCATCGGGGGTTCCAGCCCCTCCTTTCTCTCTCTTTTGCTTCCTCGCCTTGAGGTGTGCGGTTTTGCCCTCCACATGCTGCTTTACCACAGGTGGAAAGGTGACGGAGCCCCACCCAGGGCCTCAGACTTCCAGATGGCGAGACAAAAGAAACTTTTGCTGTCTGCAAATCCGTTCTCTTGGCTATTTATTATAGTCACTGAACGCTTACCTGGAGGGTCACGTAATTTGCCCAAGCTCACATCCCCAGTAAGTGCTGGAGCTAGGATTTGAACTCGGGAACTCTGCGTCCTAAGAAGCCACGTTCTCCAAGTGTGTCCTGGGTAAGATACAGCTTGCCCAGGGCGACTTCCTGCCAGAGTTTGCAGGCCAGCCCGGGGCTGGTCCTGAGCAAATCACCCGGGCCGTGCCGCAGCCTGCCTGTGGCCATGTGGGCGGAGACTGGCTGTTTTTAACCACCGCTGAGCCCTGGCACCTAAATTGCAGGGTGCTTTGTTGATGTGGCACATTATAAGCTAATCAGATCAATGCAGAGAAAGCAAATTACCTGTAATTAGGGACGATTAGTGCAATAGTAAGATTACACCCATATAAAATAATGCCTAATGCAGGGCCTGTGGCTACGGCAGAACCTGCCACCTCCGCAGGGACCCTGGCCCTGGGCACCCTCCCTGGCAGGGTGCTTACCCACAGTGGCGGCCAGCCCAGTGGCGAAGGCATTCCAGTGCAGCAGGTGCAGGAAGGAGGTTTTGCCCACATTGGAGTCGCCCAGGAAGATGACGTGGAAGAGGTAGTCAGGGTTGGCCTGGGGTTCGCGGGTGCCGGCAGGGTGAGGCTGGGGGGTGTGCTTGTCAGGGGCCAAGGGCTGGCTTTCCGCCCTGGGCTCTCTAGGTGGAGCGGGGCCTGGCTCTCTCTCTGCCTGGGCAGCTTTGGGTTGGGGCCCGGGTGGGGCTTTGGGCTCAGTCAGGGTGGGGAGGGTCTGTGTGGTCTCCTGGGCCCTGAGCGGGGCAGAGAGCTCTACAGGGGGCGTCTCTCCAGGAGGGGGCCACACTGAGGAGGGGCCCTGTGGCGGCGCAGCCTGAGGAAAGCCTTCCTGGGGCGCTGCCTGCTCATAACTGGGGTCCTGCCCCACTAGACCGACTGCTTCTCCTTGTCCACCCCAGGGCTCCTCTTCCAGACTGTGGAAGGGGCAGACCGGCAGCCCGTCTGGCCCGAGGGCCCGGACACAGGCTTCCCGGAGCCCCCCAGGCTGGCCATCCTGCCCGACCAGGCTGGGCTGGCTCAGCTCTGGGCCCCCTGCGGGAGCCTGACCCACAGGTTCCAGGCCCTGTGTGGGGACCACAGTGCCCAGCGACCCCAGGCCTGGCTTGGCACCTTCAGCCAGCAGGGCCTCTGTCTGCCTGAGCGGCTTGGCCAGGACAGGCCCGGTCCCAGGGGCCATGTGCTCCGTGGACTGGAGCTGCTCGCTGACCCCGGCCGGAGCCTGGGGAGAGGGATGGGAGCCACTGTCCTCCACAGGAACGAGCACTCTGAGTGCCGCTGCCACCAGGCTCCCGTGACCCCCTGAGAGGCCCCAGGGGAAGCCGGCCTGGGGTGCAGCTGGTGGCTCTGGGCGGGGGTCCTGCCCTCCTGCGTCCTCTCCTTTCCTGTCCTGGTTGCTGGGGGGCTCCCCTGCCGGGCTCTGTGGGGCCCCATCTGGACCTGGTTGCGAAGGCGGCTCCTGGCCAGAAGGCTGGGTGTGCAGCTCGGAGATGGAAATCTGCCTGACCAC